TGATATTTTCTTGGATTTCAATTGTGAACATGCGTAACTAACTCTCTTTTGCTAGGGTGAGGCCACGAGCCTTAGCAAGAATATGTAGTTTCTGTCCAATTTGCTTATGATTATATGCATGCAGGTTTTCGAATTATTCATCACTGGGTTAAACTATCTAAGTGTCTTGATGCTTGATCACCATTAGGATGTTTAGAAAAGTAATTTGATGCAGTTTTGGTCGGAGGTCGGTCCCTGAAATTGATGAAGGCTTCTTGTGATTAATATGTGCAAGTCCACTTAGGATGAATACCACGTCTTAAGGGTTGCATGGTTTTTCAAAAGGTTTCATAGAACTTAATGAGTCATGTATGTTTAGATTTGATCTGAATACCACAGACGGATTGCATGTGTGATATACGCTCTATGTTGGGGGTCCAAGTAGGCATATATTAGGAATACCTAACCTTCGAAATATGCATGTATAGGTCATAAGTAATTGGGGGAACTATATAGAATTGTTAAGGTGACGGCGGATCCCTAGTGCTTTCTTAATTTGATTTCTAAAAACACAACTGTTTCTCTTGCTCTTAGCTTTAATTTTGCATATTGCCTTATTTTTATTAGTTAAATTCCTTTTAATTTAAGGTCTTCAAATCAAATATCTCAACTTTATATTTTGCAATAATTAATTAGAATTTGGTTGCTACGAGTTATTTAATAATCCCTGCGGAAAACGACCTTGCGAGAATCATTTATACTACAATAACCTTGTCATTCTTGCAAGTTTTGTAGGAGTTTTAACCCTGTTTGCACAGGTACTAAAAAGCCTATCAGGAACGTCTTCTTCGTTTTCTTGTTCCTTCTCTTGCTCTACATCATCAAAAGCTTCCCTTAGGTCTTCATCAATTCCAGAAGTTTCAGTAGGAACAGCTGTAGGCTCTTGTGTCTCCGCAGATTCCACTGCAGTCCTTTTCCTAAGTCTTTTTGACCTAGTAGAAGGAGGAGGAGGACTTTCAACTACAAAAACAGAAGAAAGAAGGTTAGGAAAATAGGCAGAACAAAACGAAATAGAATCAAAAAGTTCAAAGATATTAAAGTCTTACCA